TGTATATAACGTCAACACGTGTCGCTCTCTGCCAGCCTTCCTACCGTAGGCAGGTTACCACCATAAAGGTATCCATGATCGATATTATGACCAAGATCGCATTTGAATCATGGTCTTGACTGCCTTTTCTTAAGTAGGGCTGCTGACTTCACTTTTTTATAACTCGATAACATTCTTTCCTGGCAAACCCCGTCCGCAGGGTGGGCTGCCAACCAAATTTTATTAACTTGAATAAAAATTACATATAGAGGGAACTCGATAACATTCAGAAGAATTATCTTGACGCAACCAGGAAGCAAACACGCTAATAATTGGACTACTTCTCATTTTGCCAACTTAATTGCCAAACCAACAGGGATTGCAGTAACGGCATCAACTACCACCAATGTCTCATCCATTCCCAATTCCATAATCACAATAATAAGAGAAGTACTAACTATAGCTATAGGTGCATACGAATTAGTATGTTCAATCACTTTTACTCCCAAATATTCGGAGATGGTTGCACATAATGCACCATAGATAAATTTGATTGCCAAAATTGCACATATCATGCGTCCTCCCCCAACAAGATTTTTAAACTTCTCACAACCCTATACCCAATTTGATAAATAGACGAGACTATCAAAAATATCAAAATTCTCACTATCTATTGTCCTAGAGTTTGATATTGGTCCTAGACTTCTTTTAATTGAGATAACAAGAATAATTAATTGTCTATTTAATTAACATAATTTTATTGAAATAGAAGATTTTAGATGTCCGCATGAGACCTATTGCAATTGCACGTTTGCTTGTCAATATCATTAACGATCTCAAAGTCAATAGAGAAAAGAGTAAAGTATTTTCCTAAATCACTTTGTTGGAGATGCAAGGATATTAAAGTAGATGTAACATATAAATATGCTCCTAAATTAGGAATTACTTTATGCTGGCAAACAGCATTTAGTTAGGGTTAGTCATGTCCAGGAGTCGCATGGTCGAACTTTGTGTTTTTAAGGATGTTCTTTCATTTTTGCAATTGTATTTTCAATTAAGTGATTTTAATTCTTGCAAAGTTGAGTGATTTTTCAAGAATTTTGTGTTGTTGATGTTAAGTTATTGTTTCATGTTACTTTGAATCTGAATAACTTCATTTATTAGATTAATTTATCTCTCTACATAGGTCTTTAGCATGTTTACTTGAGTTGTATAAGACTTATTTTAAGATTGAGCTAATTTTATTTCTTGGATTGCTTTATTTGCATGCTATATATATTTTTAAACATTTTCTTGAAAAGTTAGACTAGTCCCTACTTTGATTTTACTTTTTAAATTGTGTATTACAATCTTTTGCCCGTATAAGCCCATAGAGGATCATATGATGTATTAGAATCTTTGGATGGCTTAGGTTACATCATAGGATCATACATTAGAAAGTTGCATCTCGTCTTTGTTTTGCAGAACTAAGAAGTGGTATCAAAAATTTTCGTCATCACTAAAACTCTTAATTTTTTTTTTACTCTTATTGCATAAATTATCTATTGATTGAGTCTCTACACATTTTTTTGTAATCCTTGTTTAAGATGTAGATATCTTATGTTTTAAGTTACGTAATTCCATCAATTTTCTCACTCTAACCTTATATATTTTTATGAAAATAATTGCTTTTATTTCTTTTTTCCCTTTTCATTTACAGAAGATGACAGTTTTCTCGCGTTTGAAGGTTTTTTGTATGTATCAAAAATTTCATATGTTTGAAATGCTTGACAAGGGACACCAGGAGCAAGATGATTAGTAATGATGTCTAATAAATGTGTTTCATCAGTAGGGAATATTCTTTAACTTCTTGTACTTTTCCAACTCCTTCCTTGATGATCATAGACCTGTTCTAATATATAACTTATTGAAAACATTAGACATTACTCTAAATTATTATTATATTATTTCAATCATCAAAACCAAGGGTTTAATTAGACATTTACTATCTTAAGATAGTAGTATCTTTTTTCAAGATTTTTTGAGTCTCAGACAAATTTATAGACAAAATAAAAAAAATAAAAGTGAATAAAATGAGAATTAGTAGGAGATTTGCCGTGATTAAGTAGACTCATATTAATCAATATATCTCTATACTTCAACTCTACTTGTCTTTTTTGTACACAATTACACCAACCTACTTACGTATTGTGGCATTTTTAACTCTTTAATGCATTTCTTTATATTTGTTAAGCTTTGATTTCTTTCTATAAATTAAATCTCTAAAATGCATAATGTACTTGACCAAAATTTCTAAAATAACACTCCTTGTATTTACAGCTTTAAAATAGGATAAATTACATTTTACCCGGTATAGCTAATTTTCACATAACCATAATCTAGTTTTAAAAACTATATATAACCTTTTCATAGTTTGGATTAAATTTTCAAAGTGACTGAAATGATCATCCATAACGGAACCTATGAAAATGTCGAAATTACCCTTAATTATATAAACGTAATATGCATGACACTTTAATCCGTTCTCATCTTAATCCATAGAACTTTTGGTTAAATTTCAAATGATATCAATTAGACCTTTTCTCCATTAATATACTTAAATTACCATATGAATATACACAATCACAACTATTGCAACTCTATTTAATTCGACAGTTTTCCAAATTGATTACACCTTTTTTAAAAAACTAACATGTAAGACGACCTCTCTTAGCAATTGTTCATTGGTCGCACATTAGCCAAAACCGTATCAATTATAAAAAGTGGAATGAAAAGTCATATTATTACTTTAAACAAGTGGAAATTTCTATAACTAAGCCATGATTTGTATGTGCAATATCTTCAACATAATACTTTAATGTATATATGACGTCACGGGTCAAATTACAGACTAGCTACTTTTGGTTGACCCAATAATTGAACCAATGATCCTTGTCCTGATCATTTTTTTGAGTCAATGAATGGGTTTCAGTTATAAAGGACATAACGAATTTTATACTACGTATATAGGGAACGAAAGAAAAGAAAAGAGAAGGAATGGCCTCAGTTTTTTTGTCCTATCTATTCACAGTTACTGCTATTCTTTTTTTTCAGTTAATTATTTCTCCTTTTAAAATTGAACCAATTGTAGCCAGTTAGCCGATTCCACTGGAACTAGACAACTGCAGGTAGGTTTCATAGCTCAATCTTACATGACTAGAAAAACGGTCAAATATGTAAAATATGATAGAGTAGAGTGGCAGTTTCTTGGGAGAATGATGATGAAGATGGGTTTTTGTCCCACTTGGGTAAGATGGATCCTTAACTGTGTCACCACTGCAGCCTATTCTTTTAATGTGAATGGCAAAAAAGTGGGATATGTAAAACCTTCCAGAGGTATTAGGCAAGGAGATCCCCTTTCCCCTTATTTGTTTCTTATTTGTGCTGAGGGGCTATCAAACTTGATGAATCAGAGACTCAACAATAAAGTTGTAACAGGGGTCAAAGTGGGGAAGGACTGCCCAAAATTGTCTCATCTTTTGTTTGCTGATGACTCTCTATTTTGTTGTAAAGCTAACGTACAGGAAACAAAACAAATGAAGGAGATGTTTGCAGTTTATGAAAGAGCTTTAGGCCAGGCCATTAACTATGAGAAGTCAGCAGTTTTCTTTAGTGCAAACACAAAAAATGAGCTAAGAAAGGAAATCTGTGCGGAACTTGGAAATATGAAGGAGGCGGGAAATGGAAGATATCTAGGACTACCTATGCTAGTAGGGAGATCAAAGCAACAAGTGTTCAGCTATATTAGGCACAAGGTGAAAGACAAGCTACAAGGGTGGAAAAGGAACCTGCTTAGCCATGCAGGAAAGGAGATTTTGATTAAGTCTGTGGCAATGGCACTTCCCACGTACACCATGTCATGTTTCAAACTTCCAAAAGTGCTATGTAAGGATATCAATAAGATGATAGCAAAATTCTGGTGGGGAGGTGGAGAAAATGAGAGGAAAATACATTGGACTAGTTGGGAAAAAATGTCGCAGGTGAAGGGAAAGGGGGGGCTGGGTTTTAGGGATTTGGAAAGGTTCAATGGAGCACTCTTAGCAAAGCAACTGTGGAGAATACTGTCCTGTCCAGATTTGCTTGTAAGCAAGATTATGAGGGCAAAGTACCTAGCACAACCACAGAACTGGGAGAAAGACATTCCTGGAGCAGCTTTGTGGACATGGAAAAGTATTTTTGGAACAAGACAACTGCTGACAAAAGGACTAGGAAAGAGGATAGGTGATGGGAGAACTGTTGATATTTGGCAGGATAACTGGTTGCAAGGGAGTGAGGAGGGGAGGATTAAAACTAGAAGGGAACCACAGTGCACACTAAGGAAAGTGGATGAGCTGATAGTGGATGAAGCTTGGGACCAGCAAACACTGAACCGGTGGTTCATAGCAGAGGATATCCAAAAGATCAAAGCTATTCCACTCAGTATAACAGGTTGCCAGGATAGGTTGTATTGGAGATACACCAAATCAGGTGTGTTCACGGTAAAATCTGCATATGATGTAGCAATGGAAATAGGGAAGCACCAACAAAAGGAAAGGAGGCAAGGAGATAGCGGAAGTACAAGCTATGCTCAACTAAACTCGAAAGTTTGGAAGAATGTGTGGGCATTACAACTGAAACACAAACTAAAGCACTTCATATGGAGGTGCCTACATCATAGCCTGCCAGTGAATGAACAACTACATAAGCGAACAGGCAAAGGCAGTCCAATATGTAGCAGCTGTGGGGAAGAGGTGGAAACTCTAGAACACATGTTGTTTTTTTGTAATATTGCTGAAACGACCTGGAAAATTGCACCCATACAATGGGATGGTTTGAAGGATATGAGAGGAAATTTTGTAAGATGGTGGGAAGGGATATTAGGAGCGAAAACGAGGGAGCAAGGACAGGAGCATATAGCGCTGACTGTGAATATTCTTTGACAAATATGGAAGGCAAGGAACGGGACAGCTTTTGATGCATATGAGCCAGACCCAAGGAAAACAATGCAGAAAGCTGTGGGCGAGTGGAATGAGTATATAGAAGCCCAACAAGATATAACAGGAGAGTTCATTCAACAAACAACAAACTCAAGCAGTAGTAAGAAATGGAGGCCACCATCAAGAGGTACGATAAAACTAAACACTGATGCTGCATTTTCACAAAATTTGGAGAGAACAGGCATAGGTGTTGTGGCCAGAAATGCTGAAGGAGAGCTGATGAAAGTTTGGGCAAGAGCTGAACTAAAACGTAGTGAGCCACAGGTGGAGGAAGCAGCAGCAATTAGGATGGGAATGCAAATGGCCTGGAAAGCAAACTGGAGGGCAGTTGAGCTCCAATCAGACTGCAAAGAGGTGGTGGACATGATAAACAAGAAACAAAAGCAGCAAAACAACATCGTGGTCATCCTTGAGGATATAGCAAATATGAGATGTTTGTTTGAACAATGTACTTTCTCTTTTGTGCATAGAGATGGGAATAGATGTGCACATAGTGTAGCAAAATTTGCTGTAAAGCTAACAACAAATGTTGAATGGGATGAATGTTTTCCCATGTGGCTCCAAGAGGAAGCCCAAAATGACTTCAGAGGAGGCGAATCTGATGTACCTAAGTCTTGTAATATCAAGTTTACAATATGAAATGAATTTATGATGTTTCGACAAAAAAAAAAGAAAAAAAAGAAAAATGGTCAAATATGTATAGTAAAAGCCTAGTATTCAGTCAACTCGGACTAGACCAGTTCGAGCAGTTTTTGGTTTCTTTATATATCGCCCATTTGTCAATGTAATAGAATGGCTTGAAGATGGATGAGATGCAAATGGCTTGTCCATAAGCTAACTGATACACAGAGTCGATAATTATGATGGCGAGTAGCATTAGATTTAATTCAATATGATGGATGCTGAGATAGGTAAACATCTATAGTCAATAATACTATATATATATATATATATATATATATGTTGCAAATGAGATGCAAGCAACATTTCTCAAAAGGGATGACCACTTCAAACTATAATTTCCTTCTCATTTTATTATGCAAGAAGAAATTACAATACCTGAATACTCAGAACAAGAGAAACATTAATGACATCTTATATTGGTCAAGTAACACAAGTACAATTGGAATTTTCAAGAAAGTTATGCTGCTGATACTACAATAGGACTTCTAACAACATGACCAGCTCCATCACTCCATGCAAACCATCCAAATTCAAACTTTGTCTTCTTTATACTTGCAGCAACTTTTACTGTAATACTGAAGCTTTGTTTTTCCCCTATTTTGCTAAAGTAGAGTTTTGTTGGAAGGATTTCAACAGTATAGCCCGGGGGTGGTACAATGCTTACTGTGTAAGTACTATTACCAGTACCAACATTTGTGACAGTTCTACTCACAGTCATGGTGCTATTGAGTTTTGCAATTGCAAGTGAAGGGTAATTAAGATTACTGGGAGGAGGGACATGCTTTGGACATTTGAATGATGAATCGAGGAAAGCTGTGCCACTACTAGAAAGGAAGCGAAGGTAATCAGTGTAACTTGCATCATAAACAAGTCCAGGATCTACAGCTTTTGATGGTTGAAAATGGCCGGCCCCGTAGTGAAAAGGAGTTGCTATATTTTCCGCTGCATCTGTTATTGGTATCTGTACATTGTTGACCCTTCTTGCTGTGTAAAGAAAGTAAAAAAAAAATTTGTATAGATGAGGCGAAGAAGAAATAACATACTAACCTATGTGTCAATTAGAGATTATACTGAACAGGTGTAAAAACTAAAAAGTAATAGAAATGTACAACCTGTGGTCATTAGAGAAGATCTTATTGTAGCACTACTCCAATCAGGATGTATAGCTTTTAACAATGCAGCTACGGTAGACACATGTGGGCAAGACATAGAAGTTCCTGATGCAATGTTATACTTAACAACTCGATGATCTTGAAGAAGCTGAGTTGGAGGCGATGCCTCAGTCCACGCGGCCAATATGTTTAGTCCTGGAGCAGTAATATCTGGCTGGTAGAATGAAAGAATTCAACCAACTATTGTTAATAATATGAATATTTTGTGGAAAAGAAACTAATCAATTTAAATATTTGAATTTTAAAATCCATGAGAGAACTGTGCAAAACTAGATTGGAAAAAAATAAAATGAAATGGTTGACAAAAGTGTAAGTATTTTGGTTAAGAAGCATAACTATTCTTATTTTGCTGGATGAGTTAAACTTGTTGAGTTATAAGTTTTAAGGAATTGAGTAAAAGAGAACAGCTACAATTCTTTCTATTATGCATCTGGAAATGAAAAAAAAAAGATAACAGAATACTAAATTTGGATGAGAAAAACTTTTTTAGAGCACGGTATGTTAGCTTATTCCAAATGATAATATATCATTTTCTATGTAATAGACATGAAACTGTTAACGACACAAAGATTACTCATACCCTTCTCAAAATAGGGTGGAAGGAAGAAACACTAATATTTCTATGCAGAATAACACCTATATTGTTTTGAATCTTTTGAATTCCTTCCCCCCAAGTGCAAGAACATTGTTCCGTTACCAAATTATGGATCGCATTAATTTACTTCAACAATAATTACCTACAGAATTTTCATGTTAAACAGTAAAATTACCTTGAGAATATTTGGTTCAATTCCATTTGGACCTAGTGCTGTGAAAGGAGCCATAAATGGAGCTGGTCCAGTACCAATAATAGTTCTTCCTGGGAAAAGTGTTGCTGTTGGATTTTCATTATTCAATATATAACTCACTATTGTTGCTCTATCATTCTGAAGCACAGTTGTTCCAGGGAGTAGGAAAGGGCTTTCATCTACTCCTTTTCCGCCGTAAGGGTTGCCAAAAATGGCAGCCACTCCCCCTGCTCTTCTTACTTCCAATGCCTGAGAAATGAATCCTACCCAGCAGAAAACAACTTCGCCTTTAACAAGCTTTTTGGAAAGCGTACCAGGAAAGCAGCCCCTGTAAGGTTTGCTCATAAATGAGTAGAAATGGTGTATGTTATCCAAGGTGAAGTCTAAAAAAAAAAAGGAGTAAAGAAACTGAAGAAAGGGTGAAAATGCAAACCCGGTAGTCAGATTGGTGGTTTTGCCCGGGATTTCCACATCAACAGCATACACCAAAGGATATTTCTTGGTCTTCCTAAATGGCGTTACTGTACGCCCCTGTTGTGAAGATTAAAAAACAAGTTTTGATATCATATAAACAAAAATAATTTACCATGCATTATTGTTGGAAATGCCACTAAATTTTTTTTATTTGTGCATGTTGCAATTGATGGACAATGACTCTTCTGATTAAAGAAAAATTTTTTGGCTAAAATAATGAATGGCAAGTACTATATAGCAAATGATATAGTACACTTGTCACCATTTCTTTTACAGTTAGTGATCTTTTTGTTAACATATACAGTAAGTGTTCTCTGAGTGTGGCAAAATCATATTTTGAGGAAAGGTAAAGATCTAAGTGTTCATTTGCAATATTAAGATTGTTGGATTATCTTTTAGTACCTGAACAATCAGGCCATTTCCCAGAACAATTGTTGATTGAAATATTCGATCAATGCTACTAGCACCAACTGAGATGAGCCATGGAGCTACATTTGACACAGATGATGGAGTTGGCCCTGAATTACCAGCACTACATACCACGATGATATCTCTCTTCAGGGCATGCAATGATCCAATTGCAGTGCCATCTTCAGCATACGGAGAGCTAGTGTTGCTACCAATGGAGAGGCTAATAACATGAACACCATCCTTGATGGCATCGTCGAAGGCAGCAAGCGTATCACCGTCCGGGCATACTACTTCATCTAGAGGATCAGGTTGCCAACAGACTTTATAGATGGCTAGGCGAACAAGAGGAGCGCCACCAGAGGCAGTACCATTGGCGAATCCACCCAAGGAAGAAGCATTAGGAACTCTTCGTCCTCCGATAGTTGATGCTGTATGAGTTCCATGACCATTTTTGTCTCTAGGTGAACGGAATTCCATTTTTTCCTTAACAGGGCCATGTTCAGCCTCATAATGCTTTAGGTAGTATCGAGCCCCAATTATTTTCCTACAACATGTAATGAAATTTTTCACTTTTTTTTGCAAGATTATTTCATCTCTTCATCAGGCAATATTAGAACAATTCCACCCAATCCCCCACCCAACCATAAAAAATAAAGGAATAAAAGGAACCATCTATTAATTGGCAATGATCACATCTCAATTAAAAATTTGAAGTCATCAGAAAATCAAGCAAAAACTCATCTTGCAAAAGGAAAAAAAATGAAGTCCCTAGAAATTAACTGATGTGATTAGCCAATGCACTGAAGGTATTCATTTTTAATTAATATTCTTTCATGTTTGTCTCACTGAATTGTAGTGAGGAAACACAAATTGTGAAGAGTAAATTAATGCCCTATGGATCCTTTTGCTCAAAAAACAATGTTAAAGGAGCCTAGATATCTTCTTTTACTGATCATCATCATGAAAGTCGGCAATTTTTTCATAGCGGATTTTCTACTGATCATCATCATGAACAGTGATAATTGTGCATCTACTAATGGAGTTCCAATCGGCCAATGGCAGACCTGCCTCATAAGTATTGTTCTTCATTTTTCTTTAGCTATTTTGAACCTTCCTTTTTCCCAATTTATTGGTTTGGTTTTAGTTTGCGCTAGTGTTGCCGTTGCTGCTTCCTGGTGAGCATGTTGGTTTTACGCTTCGCTTTCCTTTGTTTTTCTCTAATTCTTCAAATATTTCGGAATTGCTGTCATACTGCTTTGTTTCTTATTTCTTGCTTGCTTTACTGTTTTCTCATGCACTGGTTCGACCATTTTAATTTTTTTCTGTCCCTTCTAAATTATTATCACCAAATCAGCTTCTCTTTTTTCTCTCCCATTTTTTTGTCACCTTTTCTTATTATCTCTTACATGATCATGGTTTCTTTGATAGCTTCTGTTGTTATTCAGTTCTGCAGTGTTGGACTTCTTCATACACACTGGTTAGTTATTCTAATTTTGTTCTTCTTTTACTCTTTTCTCTATATTCTATCCTTTAATTTGTACATCCTTGACATGCATTTTCTGATGCATTGTTACTTGCATCCTTGACCATCAATTGTTACTTTTTTTTGGACCACAATTTTTTGTGTGATCTTGTAGATCGCTCACTATTTTTTCATCTGGCTACTCACAGGTTTTATTTTCTCACCTTCGTTTTCCCTTTTTTATGTATAATTTCTTCCTTTTTTGCTTGCCATAAGTTTTCTGTTAATTCTTTTTTTCTTTTGGGAGCCACAAAAAATCTCTCTCGGCCTCTGAGAAGAGGAAATAAAAGGGTGTTCCAAAAAAAACAGGCAAGTCTCCTTAACTCGCTAAACAAAATCATGATCTGTTAATATTTTGTTTTGTTTTCTTATCACCTAGATTGACATGATTTGCATATCTTGAAGACTAATGGAGCACGAGAAGAAGGAAAGAATAGTTCAGTTTTTGGCAAAATGTTCACTTCAGGTTTGCCTTTGGTTTTTTTTTTTTTTCTGGCATTTTTTTGCTAATCTTTCCTTGGCTAAAAGCAACAAATCACCTTTCCCCCTTCTTTTGTGTCCTTTGTATGTTATGCTTTTGGATTTTATTACAAAGGAATATATTCAACTTAAAAAGTATTGCATCTGTATGAACTGGATGTGTAATTTTGGAAATGCATTTTAGATGTTTAGTGCTTAATGTTTGGTTATTAATTGGGAAACACAATTTCTTCACTTCATGCTAATCCTTACGCTTTATTCTCATTTTCTTGTTCCTTATTGTGGTCTCACATATCCTATGATAGATTTGATGGTCTAACATATTAATTATCTATGCTCTCTCATAAGTTTCAAATGTTTGTTGTAGCTTGAGATGTTAAGATCTACGAATTCTTTTCTCAAGGTGAGCATTGTCAGCTCTCTGTCTTTTTCCCATAGAGAAAAGTTAATATAATTTCATTTTTTCTTTTATTTTTCCTAATAAATTGGATTTTTCTGATATTTATTTATTCTAAATTTTTGTTAGATGAAGGAACAAAGCAAAAAGGAGGCTAATTTTTTTCATTTAGCCTTAAAGGCATGTTTTGATGTTTTAGTGTTCTCTTCATTTTTTTCTTAGCATTTTACTATAGTTTTCTGGTCACTTTACCCTATTTACTATTCTTGAAAAAAGTGGAGTATGAAATTTTGTGAAGGTACTGCATTTCCTTTAGATTTAGAGTCAGTTTCTTTAGTGTATTACCTATTTTAGTAAATTCATCAATAAGAGGTTGCAAGTCTTCTTTGGCTACTCCATTCCTTTAAGATCTTTAGTCCAGGTTCAATAGCATTTGTTTTCACCCTATTTCATTGAAAGTTATGATTACTGATGAAATCATTATAAATTTTTCCAATTCATAAAATTGGGGAATATTACAATTCTGATCTTGCAGGTGAAATATTACAAATTTCCTCCAACACTTTAATCAGATTTTGTAAGTTTTTGTTGATCCCTTATTTAAAACAGGTTCTATATGGTTAAATGTGCTTTGCTGCATCCTTCCCTTTCTATTACTGACTTCTTCTTGTTTTTCTTGCCATATGCATATCTCGATTTTTCCCATGTCTATGAAGCATCAAAACACATGTAAGAAATTTGAGAAATTTTTCCCTAACGCCTTCTGATGTTATAGGTCGAAATAATAGAAATATGTCTGCAGTTTGTCTTGCCTATGCCTTATTCACATATCTTGCTCCAAGAAGATTGTCGACCTGCTTCGTTGCTATTCTATAAATGGTTATACGCAGGTAAATCGCTACTCTCAACTCTTGTATCTGTTTTTAATTGCTAATCTCTTGGAGAGGTCTTCTATTTAAGATTTTTCCCCATGAGTGCGAATGTGTAATCTTTGTCATGGTGCAGGGTTTTTACCCATAATATTTTGATTGGTCTATTTGTTTAGACAAAAGAAAAAGTGTGAGGTTGGATATTATATAGGTGCAATCTTCTGATGAGTTTTTTCCTTCAGCCTTCTATTTTATCAAAATACCAGATTTTGAACAAATGTCATGAATCAGAAAAGTCTATGCTCAATTATAGATGGTAGAAACTGAATGTGAAAATTGGCTCTAATAATTTGAAATTCACTCCTTTAATTCATTAGTGAACAGTTTGATAATAGTAGCCTTCCTACTTTTTATCATGCAACTTATTTTAGATGGGTTTTCCTTCTGGGTTTATATTGTGTATGGCATGTGTTTTTAGCAATTAAAGGATTATTATATGACTAATTAATATGTTAACAGGTTAGACAAAATAAGTTAGAGCGGGACTAATTGGCAGTGGAGTGAGAGGAGTCTTAACATGGGAAAGAACAAGCATAGAAGGCCTGTTAAAGATTTATCAATTGACAGAGCAACTCCGTATGAACTTCAACTAGATGCTGCCTAAGATATATGTAATTTGGTGATAAAACACTGCATTCTGCTGAATTATTTTGGTGGTTCTTGATTCTCATTTTGCAGAATTTAAGTAGTGAACTCTACCACAAATCCTTGGAAGATGCTGCTAAGGTATAATTTGTTCATTATCTTTCATTTGCTAATCACCAGATAACATTTTGTTCCATGTGTGTTTCTTGTATTAGGAACAAAAAGAGGTTTACTTGAAATATCACACCTAGATAATCAGTTATTACAAAAATGGCTGGTCTGTGTGTCTATCTGTTTTTTGCATATGATGTTTTGATTTGGACAAAAGATTAAAATGTTTAGTATATGTATGTCTGTGTATAAAAGACTATTACATGTGGAGAGTTTATTCCTAGCATGTATTTAGAGACCATTAACAGGTATAAGATTAGGAAATTATGGCTGCATATTTGCCCAATGCAGTAGTTTTGCTAGAGAAGTTTTGCTCAGTTATACTTGGCTTAGTGTCTTTAGATCTCAACATTTTACTGTTGCTTGGGTAAATATTTTTGCTTTAGGAATCAGTGTTTTTTTATTGCCTTGAAGACTGCAGGAGGTAAAAAACATTTACTCATGTTGATATATTCACCAAGATTTATTTCTGCCATTTTTTGGGAAGTCATTTGCTTTACGATCTTATAGAAGAGATTTTTATTATGGCTATAGCACAACGTATGGTAGCACAGGCATGATGTGGACATGATTTGCTTCAAAAAAGCAGATTTTGTTTGGGAAAAAATCATATGATTTGCTTTAGTATTTGTATTTAACATGTATCTGCATTATATTAGTTGAATTTTTTTGGAGATTTTAATATTTCAGATTCCAATCTCGGTCCTTTATGTTTTGCATTGCTGGTTAAGCAGAACCACCCAAAAGAAATAAGAGGTTTAGCTGGTTGAAATTCATCATATGCAGAATTTGATAGTTTTCTTTGATGAAAAAATCTAGATTTGTTTTTCTTTACCTTTTTCCGATTTTTTCAGTTGCCTTTTTCTTTAATTTTGGTTTCTTAATCAATTCGGATGTGAAACTTTGGAAATGCATTCAGAATTCAGATGTTTAGTGCTTAATGCCTATTTATGGTTTGGCAAACACAAGTTCTTTGCTTTCTGCTAATCCTCAGGCTTTGTTGCTATTGTTTTGCTTCGTATTGTAGTGACGGGTTCTTTTTGTATCAATGCAAGTTTAATTCCGATTTTACACCCGTTGGACTGCAAGTATACAGGTCGCAATTTTAGTACAAGATGTGTATCGGGTCGATCCCACGAGCAGCAATTTAAACAATTACTAAGCCCCTGTTCTCTCTATTATTTAGACTTACCATTAATTTTGAGCAGAGAAAATCTAATGCTGTAATCTACAAATCTGATATACAAATCTAGTTTAACAAATGCTGAATGCAAATAGAGAAATTTCGCTTAATGAAGATTCTAGGGATGTAGATTCCACTTATGGCATAAACTACACAAATAAATGGATTTACTTCTTGCTATTATTCTTGCTTAACCAGAGATTTATTTCCAAGATTACCAAGTCTCATTTCCATGATGAAATGGCTTAGAGCAATATAGATTTCCCTATTTCCATGGTGAAATACTACTACAACTCTGTTTTAATTCATGAAATACTAAGTAATCCACTTAAGTGTATTTCTATTTTCATGAACATACAACTCAAGCTCTACTCATGTGTTTCCATTGTTATTACCAATTCTCTTTGAACAATAACAACTGTAAACAAGTTATTGGTGATCAAACAATAACAAGAAATCACAGCTACACAAGTAGACAAGTTAACTCAAGATATAACAAGTGTAAATCACATTCAATTAGTATTATTTAGCCATAAGTTTCATCTACTCCCTAGATGAAGGAGTTTAGCTACTCATGAATGATTTAACAATCAAATTCACAAGTTTATTAATGCAAAACATCATAAAGTACAAGTATAAGAAAGATAAAAGAAAGCTTAGCCAATTGAAGGTGAAGCTCCCCAATTCCTGCTATGTTCTTGCACAATATGATTACAAGTGAAAATTCTCCAAAAAAATGCTTCTCCAAGTACTCCTATCTAGAGAGAAAACTTCTTGCAAGAAGGAAAACTAGCTACGTATATTTATTTGCTATCCCCTTGTGTTTCTGCATAAAAAGTGGTAGAAATTCCATTCCTCTCACTTCATAATTTCCTCCACTTAGATTTTGTAAAAAGAAGTCAAAGATATGATGTTCCTTTTGTCCACACTCATTTGGTCTTCTCTTTTATTGCAGAAGCATGTGCCACCGATTTCTGTCCCTCAAAATAGCTGTAAAAGTTGTGAGAAAGGTAAAGAAAAACGGCTGTGCCACTTGCTGAGGAGAGAGACAGATCCGAGCCTCGGATCCGAGGAGTGATAATGGATCCGAGCTCGGATTATAGGATCCGAGGCCTTCCCATGATGGATCCGAGGTCGGATCGTCCTGACCTCGGATACACTCCGCCAGAAGTACAGACGAGGGGTCGGATCCCTCTTGTACACACGGATCCGAGCTCGGATCCGTGTTGAGCATTTTTCCAGTTTTTCACTTCTTCCCTTTTTCTACATTTTTTTGCTCCCACTTTCTTGTGTACTTTGTCCTCTGGATGACCCTGACATTTCTTTCAACTTGTGCATGAATTTCATACATCAATTACCTTCACAATTTCACAAAATTACGCATTAATCCACTCATTTATCAATTTCTTAACTCTTAAACAATATTTAAGCAATTATCACCAAAAGAGTTTAAATATGGCTTTAATCTTCTCAAAACATACCAAAAATTCATGCCAAATTCATACAAAATGTACGTTAAATATTCACTTATCATGTAGTTTCACACACCCTATGCTAGATTGATAATAGGTGGATATAATGAGTGGTAGCAGTGCTGATGTGTTAGTCTAGAGAAATTTTTAATATAATTGCATTATTTTCGGTGCTTAGTCTAGAGAATTTTTTAATAAATTGGTGATATTGATAGTAGGTGGATATAATGAGTGATAGTAGTACTGATGTGTTATGTTTATTGTGGTAATTTACTGATAAGAATTCAGTTAATTGAGTTTTTCTTTTTTTTTTTTTGGTTGCCTGCCACGGTATCCAGGGCTTTGCCCTGACTAATCCGTTGGTCGACCCGGGTCGCACACCTGGCTGTGGTGGGTGAGTCTCCCAACAAGGATAGCTGCATACGTCAGGTTTCGAACCCGAGACCTGCTTAAGCGGAACCAAGCTGCTTACCACTTGGCCCAACCCCAGTTGGTAGTTTTTCTTCAACGAAGGTAGGAGAGAGCGAAGAATGTTAATTTGGGAGGGATGGAAGAAAATTTTTTTTAAACAAGAGCAAAATGTTTTATGCAATAAAAAATGTTTATGTTTAATTATTCTTAAAACTATATCTATGTATCATTTCTGTTTCTTTCATAACGAAAAATTAGAACAAGTGTTTCATTCTATTTATGTCAAAGAACACCAATTGAAGAACAAGAACGTTACATAATGGTCCTTAATTTACATGGTTTTAGTATTTCTAGGTAAAAAGACGTTTGCCCAAGAATGAGACGTCTTAGCTAGCTACTAGATTCTGAGCACATTTTAGAATTGGGGAAGTGAATTGTCATTTTGTTTAAAAACTTTAAATAACCTTTTATATTTCTGTATCTGTATAAGAAATGGTTTTGTTTTTGTTTTCAAGTTGTGTTTTTGCTCGACTAACCTATTTAATATTATTCATTTTTAGGTTAATTGAAGTGGATCGTGATGAAGCTTGAAGCATTAGTGATGGTAATTCTGCTAAAAGCTTTAAGATTTATTTACGCCACTCAAAATGTTTAGATTTGATTATTTAATCTAAGATATATAATTTTGTCAACATACACAGTGAAAGCAGATTTTTCCTTTCTTTCAAATTTTGTTGTTCTTTCATAAATAGCTAAATGTGAAAAATCTTCTTCATGTAGTTCATTTTTTTTCTTTTCTTTCACATTTTCTGAATTTGTTGTCTCACGCTTTGCCAGTCATTTTCTCGATATTCAAGGCATACAATGATGCTTGGCATAGAAGATTATTAACCATGTGGCTGAAATTGTTGGAGACAAATCAAATGCCTAAATGGCAATTTGTTTGGATAGAGTATGCAATCATAGTGGTTTGTTTTAATAAGTTCTCATTTGATGTAGGATAATGCTTGACTGCCATCAGCAGATTCTGATAATAATTTTGCTTTGATCAAAATCTGAATTCTTTTCCCTTTCCCTTTTTTCTGGTTTTGTCAGCTGTTTTTTTTTTTTTAATGAATTTTAACTGTTCCTTTTTCCCCCTGGGATTTTTTTTTGGCTGGTTCTCCGTAATTGCTTTCTACATTTATGTCATATATGTTTTAACTTTTCAATTCCCCAGACTAGAAACTTGCACAATGTTCTCTGAAAGTTCTTTTTCTTCTTGTATCTGACTTGATCAGAACTGAGGGTTACAGGCGAAGTTTAGTCTCTTAGTTTCATTGGAGGAGTATTGTTGATTGCATGTTGATATTGGAGTATTTTGTGGTGAAAACCTTATGGCAGAAGAAGTTATTTGAGAATTTGAGGTGTCCAAAAAGCACTACGAAACAAGACTATAGTTAGCTGTTCAAAGTATAGGTACTTTTGGATCAGTGTAACTTTTTATTGTATATCTTGTTTCCCCCAAACGTGATTGATATTTACATTACTAATGTACTTTTGGATCAATATAACTTTAGTTCTATGTCTTATTTCCTTTGGATAAGATTGAAATTTACATTCATAGAGCCAATTTCAATGTAACTTTTATTTTGTTATTTATCTTTCATTATACACTACTGGGCATCATCGAGCAGACTCTACAATTAAACACCGCGAACATAAACTACAAAAGCCACCACAATTCACCATAAATATGGGATCTTTACAAGTAGAAAGAAAACTAGGTGTTATCAGGAATTAGCAGGATCTTTCCTAGATTGCCATGTTTTTCGATCAACCTATGTGCATCATCAGCTTTGTCGAACGTGTAAGTCCTGCCAATTATCGGTTTGATTGAACCTACTTCAACTAATGGCCATATGTTCTTCTTGACTAGCAGAAGTAGCCTTGCTTTTTCAACCAAATGTAAAGTATTTAAGTCTGCACCTGCCAACAGTAAATCAAGTCATTTCAACATGTATGTAAACAATCTAAATGCAAGTGAGAGGACCCATTTGTTTCTTGTAAGAAAATTCCATATTAACATTACCCATAATTTCAAGTTCCATATCCTCAAGCGCCTTGCTGTTGAAATTTACGAATCCCCATGGATCTTCAAATCCAATTATTATCAACTTGCCACGGTACGCGAGGCTTTTGATATTCTGGTTCAAAAAGTTCACTCCAACACAATCAAGTATGTAGTTGACCCCTTATAAAGGACATATGCCAAAAGAACCAACATTAAGTTAGACTCAAATGCAAAACGATGAAGGCATACATAATTGCTCAGGGAAGCAAAACAAGATTCACATGTTTAATGATCAAAAAAGACCTACAAAAAGAGAGTGGAACAGAAATAAAACATGGCAGCTTCACAATATTTTTCCTATAATTTTGTCCATCTAAATTATATGACCTTGCTTCATTTGACATTTTCTAGTTGTATTGTGTAGCGGTTCTCCATTAATAAAACAGATTACTATAATTCAATATCGACCTCGACATGAACAGGGAATGTAACACTCCAAATTCCTCAATTATTATTTTTCCTATAATTTTGTCCACTGAAAGCAAGGTCATATACTTCATTGGCACCTCCAATTTTAAGTTAAGGTCTGTTTGATAACATATAAGAGTGCTAAAACTCAACTTTTTCAAATATTCAGATGTTTTGGGTGTTTGATAAATAAAAATCCATCCACTGAACTTGTTAAGCGGTGCTGAACTTCTGTGTATTTTTTTCAGCACAAGAATCGTAACTGAATGCTAAATTCTGATAAGAATCAACAAAATTACTTCAACTACCTTATCTTATCTACTAAATCTATCATTGTTTGTTAATTATGTCTACAATTCTTATCTAATTAAACAATCTGATATTCTCTATTCAAAATTCTTATCTAATTAAGTAACCGGATATTCTCTATCTAATGGTTGTCTACTTCTCTTTTCTCCCTTTTTAATGACTTTCACATCTTCTCCATACTTCTCATATAATATATTTCATCTTTTTTATTAATTTGATTTAAAAAAAATATTGTCATTTTTATATCTAACAATTTTAAACTAATTAAATCATCGGTTCTATTTCTTTTTTGGATGAAAAGATATAAGGGCAAAATCATAAATTTCAACTTATTAAGCATTCAATTATAAATGTTTATCCAACAGTATAAATAGGTTCAGTATTAAAATTCAGACATTCATGTATTTCTTTTCAGTGCTTAAAATTTAGCAAATTAATTGTTTAAGTTTTCAAATTTTAGATTCAATTTTATCAAACGGAGCCTTACAATCTAAATGTTTCAATTTAAAAAAAGCAAACTTTGTTCCCCAATTGATGTTATCCTACCCAAAAAGAAGCAAGTTGAATCATACCATGATTTCTGTAGCTAATTGAAAAAAACACGCAATCCTTTTGACTCAATTATCAAAGCAATAATCAAGACTAGTGCGAAAGGCATGCCCAAATGCATGCAAAATAATACACAAAAGAAAGTTACAAGAAAAGAATTGAGGGAGTTGTCAAAAATTATCATAGTTCGTAACTTATCCTCGATTATTTTAAAAAAAAAATTTGCATGAGGGCAAAAAGGAAAGGCAAAAGTGGCAACACCGATGCCCTTGCTCCCATGGTTGACATGTTAAAATGGATAGCCAAATGAAATAGAAGAAATTGAAACGCTATAGGCTCCATTGACAATTGTTCAAGTTCCGTTTCTTGACTCGTTAGTAAAGTTGACATCAACAGCCTTCCTTGGACCAAAAAATATTATAGATGAAAGTCTGCCAAAAATCACAGTAAAACTAGGAATGCAAAGATTTTAAAGTCCAAAGAAGACACCAGTACCAGCCCCATTAGTTTCAGCTTTTACACGTTGAGAGAAATCCTCCTCCTTGTGGTTAATGCAAACATCAGCTCCTAATGCTGCACAAAGTTCAACCCTTTCCTTGCTTCCTGGTAGCCAATAAAAGAGATAAATTACTCAACAACTAAAATTTTGGCAATTTTGCACTCGAATAAATGAATTCTTCTTCAATTTTAACAATTAGAAATCTATAAAATGGTATAATGGTATCAGTAAATAATCATATTAGATTCCTTTACATACAGCAGATTCAAGACAATCTTATTAACAAGTCAAACAAGAGCAACAATACCTGCGGTTGCAAATACTTGACAGCCATAGTGCTTCGCAATCTGAATCGCCAATGTTCCAACTCCCCCTGCTCCTCCATGTATCTGCAACTTAAGGAACTCAAACTTCTCATTTTGCTTCAAAAAAAGGAACGAGGAAAAGCCAAGCTACACAGACCAAGGTTTTGAATTTTGATGACATAACAAATTACCAAAACTTTTTGACCATTGGTAAGCTTGTTCATGAGAAAAAAACAATGCCAAATGAGACATGCTGCACGCGGCAAGGCAGCAGCAGAAGCTAAATCCAACTTTTTTGGAGGTGAAATGATATGATATGCAGGTACAGCCACTAAATCAGCACATCCTCCTCCCTGAAGGAGAGCACAAACCTACAAATAAAATAAAGTTATGATACAGACATGTAAAGATGATCTACCATCACAAATGCATTTTAAATTAAAACAAAATTGGCTTAGAAAAAGACATTGAGCTGCATTTGGAGAGAGCCAAGGTAAAGCTAAGCTACTTGAAATCAAGTGACCTTAATTCATTGGATCATTTCCCTTTTTTTAACCTTTTTACACAAGCTAAGCAGCATTTTGAAGAAATAACTACTTATCCATATCCAACACTTTTTGTTATTCAAGATCATGATATAGCACATTAGCAACGTAAAACCAACACCCTTCTTGATAGAGATAAGTGCAAAAATCCACTAAGGTTTATAGGAGGCGTGGAAAGGATGTGTCACATGCCCAAGCATTGATTTGGCATGTTTTTGATGACAAGGAACCACCTTGGAAGTTGGTTCGAATCATATTGAGTTTGTTTTCTGATTTTCACCAGCAGGGGTATTTTAGTAATTTAATTAGCTGCAGGGATTTTATATTTATGCTAATTTTTTGTTTAGTAATTATTATTGGTAATTAGTATTTTAGTTATTATGGGAATAAGAAAACTTAGATTTATAGCTTTTTACTAGAATTCCATTCTAGTTAGGAGCTCTAAGTAGGATTAAAGTTGGCTTTGTTCTAGTACCTATAAATAACGACTTCTCCAAAAAGAGAAGTCAAATTTTATCGTTAATAAAATTTTTCTGCGGACTTAATGTCTTTCTTAGGATTGTGTGATACATCCTAACTTCAAGTGTGATGCCTAAAGATTCCTAGAATTACTAATCAAATTTTCATCTTCTTAAGCATATTGTCTCATCCTATTCCTAGTTGCTATTTTAAATTCCAGTGAAATTCAATATCTGAGCTTTCCACAAAGCTGTTGTTCCTACCAAGTCTTCATGCTGCATCAATTTTGGTAATCAGAGCCAGGATTTCCCATGACAACAAGAAGTGGGTTGAATTTTAGGAGTTGAATACAGACAAGGAACGGGATAACATCATTAACCTTCTCTTGAAGAGGGTTGCTGTGTTAGAAGACAAAAGGTTTTGATGTAAATTCTAATACTGAACAACAGGAAATTCCAGAATCTAGAGGCAACAATGGGTCCGGATCTGGGGCCAAAATCAATGGAAAGGAACCAGAGCATCCCGAACAGCCTGAAGACAACCAAGACTGAATCTGGTAGGAGTGAAAATAGATTAAATCAATCTTTTGGAAGACCACGAGCTTCTCTTCTTGACATGGCTGATGAGATTGTTCAATCGGCAAGGCAAGGGAGACAAGCCACTTATGATTTGGCAGGAGACATCACAAAAAAGGCAAGAGTTGATATTCCTGATTTCGATAGAAGAATTGATCCTAAGGTTTTTTCTGATTGGCTTGCTACTTTGGAATGCTATTTTGATTGGTATGATATAACTGATGAGAGAAAGGTTAAGTTCGCTATCATGGAACTTGTTGGACGAGCCCAATTGTGGTGGAAAAGAGTCGAGCATGATCTTCGACTTGCTGGACAACTAGCCTTGATGTGGGAAGAGATGAAGCTGCATTTGAAGAGAAAGTACATGCCTCTATATTATGAAGCTGATCTTTTGATGATATGAATAGCTTAAGGCAGGAGGGAATGACAGTTGCTGAGTATATGAACAAGTTTGAAGAGCTGAAAATTCGCTGCAGAAGAACAAAAAATTCAACACAAGCTTTATCCCGATTTAAGTTGCGCTTGAGGCTTGAAATTCGCAAAGAATTGATAGGACATAATATCTACATAGTTGATAATGCATTTCAAGCAGCTCTTACATTTGAAAAGAGCCTGTGACAGACACTAATTAAGAGGTTCAATACTCAAGGCGGGGAGGTAGTTCCTAAAAGATTTGCTGCAAATAGCAAGCAATATATATCAGTAGCAACTCAAGCAACTTCCAAGCCTGCAAAGACAAAAACTAAGGCTTCCAAAATCGATGAACTAAACAAGAACAAGCATGCACGTTTCAAGTGCGGTTTGAAGGGACACATAGCATGGGAGTGCCCGAACAAGAGAAACTTGCACATTGATGCCGATTTCGGAGATAAAGAAAATCTAAAGGTCGAGGAGGATGAAGGTGCTGATGATTTGAACGAGATGGCACGACTTAATGTTGGTGATTTGGAAGAGGAAGAAGAAGACACTCGTATCTCTCAGTTGTGAGGCATATATACTCACAAAAGAAAGACTGACGAAGAACTTCAATCTTTCAGAACTTAGTTTGCTATGGACAAGAAGAAACTAGAAAACTCATTATTGATGGTGACAGTAGCATGAACGTGGTTTCAGAGTCTATTGTACTACGGCTAAAAGTTGCCTACGGAGCCACATCTTGAATCATACAAGGTTGCTTGGATCAACAGTAGCTCTATTCCGGCAATGAGACATTGCTTGATGTTTATTAAACATGGACCTTACAGTGATTCTATATGATGTGATGTTATTCCAATGACTGTTTTCCACATACTTCTTGGTCGACCTTGGCTATATGACCAAGATGTGGATCATAATGGGAAGTCGAACACTTATGCATTCAAGTTTAATAACCACCAAATTGTCTTAAAGTCTATGAGTGCTGAAACTATAAAGAAGTTTCACAAGAAGAAACCAATCAAACAAGAGAATTCAAGGGTTAATGAAGTGATCGAGATGAGGAAGAAGCCTCTTCACATTTTGAGCAACAAGCAATTTGAAAGGAAGAGCAAGGAGCAAAGAGTTATCATGGTATTAGTCTTCTAAGAGGTGAAAATTTCAGTAGTTGTCAACTCTGAAGAAGGGCCTCCAGAAATTGTCAAGCCGCTGTCCGATTTTTCTGATGTAGCTCCAGAAGATTTGCCACATGGACTACCACCCATGCGTGATATCTAGCATTAAACAGATTTCATACCAGGTTCTCAACTCCCTAACTTGTTTGCCTATTGCATGAACTCAAGTGAATCCGTTGACCTTAAGAGACAAGTGGATGAGCTCTTGGACAAAGGACATATTCAAGTCAAACTAAGTCCTTGTGCCATGCCAGCTTTATTGATTCCAAATAAAGACAGAACCTAGAGAATGTGTGTAGACAGCCGCACAATTAACAAGATAACAATCAAGTATAGGTTTCCCATACCTAGACTTAATGATATGCTTGATATGCTGGCTGGTTCAATTTAAAACACCAATATGTGAGATAACTCATTAGCATGCATTCTATTGCATCTTTAACATCCTTTACTGCTTCCAAAAGCATAACTATATGTGCCCCCATTTAGATTTTTATTCAAAACCGAAATGAAGAATAATGGTTTTACGTCAACCATATTCAAAATATACATAGGATAAAACAGATAGTTACTGAATTCCCATACGTGCAAATACAGACTTCAAACTACTTTATTGATCATTACATAGAATTTAATCAAGATACTGCATCTTTTCTTCTGTTCGCTTCTGAGAATCAGAAGATTGTAGATTAGGCGGGTTCTAAAAAATAATTGTTTGTCTACCTTACTCTCTCAGTCAAGATGCAATTATATGCAAGACCAACAAGTCTATCATGCTTAATATCTTTAGTTTAATATGAAGCTGCCTTATTTATGCCCTTTATTCGAGTGGCTTCTTTCTTTGGAAGACTGACGAGGCCTTCCCATGTTTGAATCCGAGAGTGAATGCCCTGCCCGACATTCTTGTCAAAGCATCAAAATTAGAAATACAAAATGATCATTAAACCATCCAATCCTATGTCTTAAAATTTCCTAATTCTATTGAGTAATGAGCAAAATATCATAATCCTTAATATTATGACTAAGCCTTCTTAGAAAAACAAATTTCACGGCGCTCTTCTTAGGCATTCTTTTTAAATTTCTGATTTTGGGTACAATAAGAATAAAAAAGTAACTAGATAATGGAAAGGGGACTAACCTCATCACCCTGCTTCCATCCGGCCACAAATTTCCCGGTTCTCAATATTTTCCCAGAGCATTCCATGCCGATAGGATATTTCTTTGAGGCATCATTTTCATCATTTTCGTCTAATCGTGGCCAAAGATCCATCCTGTTGAAGGTGGTGGCAGCAACCTGGATCAATACTTCATAATCCCCCACTATGGGGGCATCCACCTCTCTAAGGGTTATTACTTCAGGGCCTCCACACTTGTCATAAAATACAGCCTTCATTTTGTTACTTACACCAACCTAAAACCCCCCCAAAAAACAAACAGAGAGAGATTTAACCAATTTTCATTCAAATCAAATCAAGATAATCCACTAAATACATCAGCATAAAACCGATCAATACTTCATTATCCTTCACAACGGACTCATCCACCATTCTGGCGGTCAAAGCCTCAGGACCTGGTAAACTATGGACTTGTCCATTTTGTTAGTTATAGCAACCTAAAACCCAAACAAAAAGAGATGTTTCAACCAAAACACCAAATCCAAAAAATCAAATCAGCATAATCCACCGAATACATGCGCAAGAAACCGATATACATTAACCTAAAGCCCTCAAAAAAGAGATTTAACCGATTTCAACCAAATCAAATCAAGAAAATCCAGTGAATACACAAGGGTACAAGTCCATGGCTCAATGTCCGAGTCGACCCGGCCGAGTCGTCACCAGAACTTCAGCTTACACTCCACAACCGGTCCGCCATATCCTGGAGACGGTAGACCCGGTGGAAACTCGTTCAGACTCGGAAGATTCGAGCTGATTCGACTTCAGGAATCAAAAGACCGGCCGAGTCAACGCGTATTGACGCATCAGATATCCATGAACGAAGACTTTCACCACGATTTTCAGAGACTTTTAGGGTATAAACAAATAAATAAAAAGGAAAAATAAAACTTACCCGCATCCAATTTATGAGAAATTGCGCAGAAAGACAGAAATAACGAATCAATCTTTAACCCAAAATTCTCTCTTTGAAGACTCTCCACCGAATAGCAACTGCACGGCAGAGATTCAGGAGAAGGAGAACGAAAAATATCACATGCACGGGTGGGGGTGAAATTTGGAGAGGAGGAGAGGGAGGAGAGAGAATGAAACTTGGAAGGCAGACTCGAGGGAGGAGATCTTGACTTCCTATTTGCCCCTGTACCGTTGTACGTACTGCCCGGGTGATAAAACCCCTATTCTTAGCTCTCTGAATCTTTTGTCTTTTAACTTAATAATAATTTTCTTTTTCTGGCGGAGAAGGAGAAAGAAAGTCTAAATCAAGAGCGAAAACCACACGGGTGGTGCGGGATTGGCTTCGCTCCTTGTTGACGCGGTGGATTGCATGTCTTTTGTCTCGAAAAGGGTTTCTGAAATTTTGTTGTAAATTTGCATTTGGGTTTTGGAATTTCCTTCCCCAGTGAAAACCAATATTTATAACGATACCCTTTTCTACTCCCTGCTAATTTAGTTCCTTCTGATTTTAAGTTGTTCTGACATCGATCTATGAAGGGAATAGTTATTGAAAAAGCGGGAGGGCCAGATGTGTTGAAGCTGGTGGAATTAGATGACCCGCCACTTGGAGATGACGACGTCTTAATCAGGATTGCAGCCACGGCGGTGAATAGAATTGATTTGCAATGTAGATTATTCGGCTCCAGAAATTCGTTTAATGGTGGTTTGTACATCCCTGGGTTGGAGTGTTCTGGAATTATCATAGCTGTTGGCCAAGGGGTTACTGAGTGGAAAGTTGGTGACAAAGTAAGTTCTTTCTGCCCAAATTCTGCTTCTGCCCAAGTTCTTTCTGCCCAAATTCAGTTAGCTGTTGGCCAAGGGGTTACTGAGTGGGTTGTTGATTCAATACATTTCAATTTCTGCCCAAATTCTTTATGCTGATAGTTTTCTTTCTGCTGTTATTATTAGACCATGACTATTAGGTCCAAGCCCAATTTTTTTAGTTGATTTAGGGCACATAGATTGCTTGTTAAGTCGTCAGAATGCAGAATGAAGAAAAAAATGGATTCTTGTTCGTATTTCTCGATTAGAAAATGTTGGAAATGAGTACCATCTAATAATTAACTTAATGTTGATTGAAGAAACACTGACGATAAATGGTCCTTTGCAGGTGTGTGCCCTTCTCAATGGAGCGGGGTATGCTGAGCAAGTAGCAGTATCTGCTAAGATGGTTCTTCCTGTTCCTTCAAATGTTCCACTTACACATGCTGCAAGCTTGCCGGAGGCTGCTCATAATGCTTGGAAAGTTGTATCTGAAGCTCAACTAGTACGAGGAAGAAAGTTATTGGTAATCCTTGATAGTCCTTATTTTTTGGCTGATGATCTATTATCACGTTATGAGTTAACACTACTAAATTCGAATTCCTAAACATGCTTGATACTTGGAAAAGTTTTGTGCTTTGTAAGTAGCTACCTATGAAAGGAAGAGGAGATGCATCGTTTTTAATGTTTTGGAATTGTTATTATGCTCATTTCACTGTCTTTTGTTATAAGAAGACAACCATTATATGGTCCTTCAGTTTTATTTCTTAATACACTTGTTATAAAGCATGACGTGTTTGACACTGTCCTGTCCATAATGAGTATTTTAGGATTATCAGATTTCTTTTGTAAAAATTGAAATTTACACTCGTGAGGAGGATCTAGGAACACCTACTTGTCCTAGTAAAGTTTTCTGACCAGTGAACCAATTTATCTGGATTACGTCAAAACATCAAACCGAAATCAACTGGGGCATTATTTAAAGATTTAAACTTGCTCTAAAATTTGAATAAAAAAAAGACATAAATTTCTAACAATTAGCTTAATCTATCCTTTTGCTAGAGAAGATACACTTAATTAATCTAGAAGTATGTCTTTGTTGAGGTTTTGATTTCAAGAGTGGTGCTGTAAATTGGATGTTGATGGTGCACATTTTGTGCTTTCCTGTTGTACTTCAGTTGCATGAGTGCTGTGGTTATGTTGGGTTATTTGTCCTTCAGATGGCAAAATGCAAAGGCGCAGTGGTGTATGTCACTGCAGGTTTGCTTCAGTCTTCCCTTGTTAAATATTGTAGCATTCTAATTTACATGGACTGTCTTATTCCTGCTATTTTGCTGGGTTGAATGTATGTTTTTTTTCAGAGACTGATGAAAAGCTGGATTTCTACAAGCGTCATGGTGCTGATATTTGCATTAACTGCAAGAATGAAGATCTTGTCACTCGAGTGATGGAGGAAACCAGAAAGAAAGGTAATACTTGTATCATTGTAGCGTTCCCACTTTTTAAATTTTTATTTTTTTTAGACCCTTGGATTTTGCATTTGCTGATGAGGATGTGAGCTTGTTGAAGTATGTATGAGTTTTTTTTTGTAAGAGAGGTGGACACTGTTGAAATTACTCTCGGCCACTTTTAGTGAATAGTGGTATGATTATCTTTAGTGTCTCTTGAGACATTCATTAGCTCTGTGATAACCATGGTTCAAAGTCGCGGTCGCGGCTTGTACCGTTCCACATCGGTCTCGGCATATCGGTCGCGGTCTCGGCGAGACGTGAATTTTTGAAATATTTAATATTCTAAAAATTGTAAAAAATATGATAAATAAAAATAATTAAAAATTAGTCATGGCATTATAACAAGTAAAACCACTGTTATATTTTGTATTGTTGAGGGCTTAGGTGCTTTTGTACCTGTACCAGTTGGATGGGGGACGAGCGTAAGGTGTGTGGGAAATCAATTTTAGTCAATTTGATGTTGTAGGAACATTTCAAATTTGAAGTGGCAATCTCATGTGGGGCCATCTTCTTGAAACCCTGCTTTACTGCTATTTCGCCGCCCTTCACTATTATTTTAAGGATATGCCATCCTTTTTTACACCAGAAACAGTTATTCTTGTTAACTGGCGTAACAAAATGAAATGCTAGTTGAGGGAATATCTTGTAACAAAAATGCATGTAAAACTTTTCAGAGACTATAATGGCTGCTTAAGATGAAATCAGTTTCTTTTCGGAGTGCTGCAACTTTATATAAATAACTTAAGATTGTACTGTGATGCAATAATGTAGGGTGTTTGACTGTAAATTGAAATTGTGAACTTTGCATACCAAGAAGAAGAATAAGATCAAAAGGAACTGAAGATTCAAAAATTATATACTTTTGGTCCCAAGATTCAACAACTGTATATTGATCCTTTATGGGGCCTCTCCTTAGGACCCAAAGTCAAAGTAGCAGGTCAACTTTTACAAACTTAATTATGAAGTAGACTTAGCTTACTTGTTCTATCTCCTTTTGGGTTCTGGATTTCCTCAATTGATTTTCCACTGTGACAATTTGGAAAAGGAAGAGAAGAAGTGAAATCCTCAAGTGACTTTGTCAAGAAAATGTGTATTTTCATTAGATGTCCATTGAGGGAGAGTTGTGCTGGCTGGCTAAATAAAAGGATAGGGACAATAAAAGTAGTTTGCTTTGCATAGTGAACTTAACAGACATGAAAAATCAAGGGGAATGTGTTGCTTTGGTTGGTATATGTGCTATATCTGTTCTTTTCTGTGCAACAATCTTATGAGAAATTCTTCAATATCAGGTATCGATGTTGTTGTAGACAGTTGGGCTGTCAACTTGGAAAAAGATCTCAAAATCTTAAGCCATTGGGGAAAACTGCTTTTCGTTGACTTACATGGTCCCAAGGGTGGAAACTTGTATTTAACAGCAGTAATGAGTAAGCAGGCAAGAGTTCAAGGTAAATCTATATTGGTCATTGAATTTGTGCACTTTGACTTTTTCAGTTGAAGAAGTTTATGGGGCTTTTATAACGTTGACATTATTTAATGTATTTTTTTTCCTTCTATCAGTGACTTGTTTTTTACATTTCAACTACTTAGTTGATGAGCAGTATGGCTTTTGGCTTGTGTTACAGTGCTTAACAGATGGTGGAAAACTTTAGATAGAGCAGCGTGTATTGTTGATCATCTGAAGAAAGAAGTATGGCCAGAGATTGAAAACGGATCTGTGAAACCTGTGGTGTACGAAACACTTCCACTGTCTGAAGCAGCAGCTGCTCACAAGCTTATGGAGCTTACAGACTATGGGCAGGATATGTGGTCTGTTATTGGATATTTTGTGCCATGGCTGGGACACTATGCCTGTACTGGCAAGGTAGCTGGACATGTTATGGGAAAGATTTTGCTTACTCCTGACTTTGAAGAGTCCTGAACAGCCAGCACGGCATGGATGCCATGGGAAAGATGTGAGTACCCTCTTCCTAAGATCTAGTTTATTCTGGTTCATTTGCTACTACATCTTGAACTTGTGTTTGAGCTTTAAATTTTTTATTGCTGGAAATTATTCTTTTGTTCAATTTTGAATGGGAATTTTGTTTCAATGGGAAATTTTTGTTTGCCAAAACTTTTTATATGGTTGTGCAAGATCAAGTTTGTGGTTCAGCTATGTTTATCTCATTTAGAGAGATTGTAATATCTGTGAGAAATGTTCAACTCTGTAGTTTTGTTGTTCTCTAGATATACAGGCAGCCACAGGTTGGAGCTATTTGGGTAAGTGGGCAATTTGTTGTCAGAGGAAAGTTAAATGCTCATGTTTATCTTAGAGCACCCTTCACTTGCAAAAAAATAAAATAAAGGGAAACCTTGCTGCTGCCAGAGTGACAAATTATTTTGCAATAGTTGTTGCCGGACTGATAGTATGTGGCATGGAACATCTGTTGGTTTATTTTGATGTTCCTTGGAGAATTTCACGAATGTGTTGCTATTTAGGCATTATGCTTGGTATTATTGGTGCATCTATAGATCCAAGGAGGTGCATTTCTAAAGCCTATTAATCGTCCTTGTTGGCTGGAAAATCTTTTACACTTGAAAAGTTGAATTTGTTTGTTTAAGAAATGGATTTTTTAAAATTAAAGTACTACATAGAATACGTTCCCTTTGTTTCAAGTTTGGGCAATGGACCCTGCTTTCTTTTCATCTTATGCTATATACTGGGAGGAGTGCTCGCGTATTGCGCGGGTGTTTGGTACTTATGATCAAAAAGGATTAAATAAATAATAATACATTCTGAAAAGAAATAGTCAATGCTTTTACAATTTTACCATTCCCAAAAGGTCCCTGTAGATGTCAGTTAAAAATTGCCTAAGAGTACGGATAAAGGAATATCCTCCAACGGCTAGTTATAGCAACGTGTTAATTGCATAACATGTTAATATGTTTTTGTGTTAATTGCACGACAAAAGCCATATTTTAATTTAACTTGTCTATAACATCATTTCAGTAATTACACCAACACATAAGCTTTTATGAGTTATACTCAATGCAAAAATAATTGCAAAATAATTACATATTCTAGAAAATATCCAAATGTCTCCATAAATCAAGGGATAATTTCAGAAACCTCCCCTAGGTTTTTTAGAATATCACTCAGCTCTTCTGAGATTTTTAAAAGCTCACTTGCCTCCCTTGAATTAACATTTCTTGCAACATTTTAACCCTTTTTGGAGGAAATACAAGAAAAATAA